GGCATTATGGTTTCAGTATAGATACTGAGAGGCTATAACGTTTGGTTCTTTATCTACTTTCAGTACACATCTCCCATCCCGAATGATTCCTCCAACCATCACTGACTAAGTAATTCCTTCTCTATTCAAGCTGCGTTCTCCCTCAGCTCATGTATGAGACAGTCTTCCAACTATGCAGCAATATTCATAACCCTTGTGTCTACTGTCCTTGGGTGTTAATCTTGTAGTATGTTATCCAGTTTTCCCAGCACCACTTGTTGAAGAGGCCTTCCTTGTTCCACTTCACTTTTCTTGCTCCTTTGTCAATGATTAATTGGTCATATATTTGGGAGTCTGTGACAGAATATCAACTCTGCTCCATTGGTCTGCGGTTCTTAGTTTTTTCTTTTAGTGTCAACACAATTATATCATTTTTGTAAACAAAATAGAATTTTAAGTTATATTGTTGTGCAATTCTTGACTCAAAAACAAAAAGTAAAGAAATAACGTCCCAGAACATCACATATGATCTTTCTTGGTTTCTTGGAACTCTCTCTTGAACTCCTGAGCCACCTTGTCAAGTATCTGTCCCCTCAGGAGAGTCTTGATGGGGAGACCTGAGATGATTGAGTTATTATGGGTCAACCTGCCTTTGTACTAGGATGCAAGTTGGAGAATGGCTGTGGGAGGTGAATGTGTTTCTTCAGTGTAAAGAAAATGACCTGGAACCAGCACATGGACAGTTGTGCCTTTGCTCCAAGATGGCTGCCCCCAATTCCACATTCCCTCAAGTTCCCATCCAGAAAGGGCCTCTGTCCTTGGCGACATTCTTGACCAGTAGTCTGTGAAGAAATGATGTCCCAGGCCTCCAGAGGCTCCTTCACAAAGGTTCTTGCTTGGCCTCTTGGACACTCAATCTTTGAGCCCTGAGCCTCCTTTTGAGGTTTCTAACTGCTCTCTGGGAGTCTCTGTGGGAAGATCTAAGGAGACCTGAGGAGGGAGAGCGAGCAACTCAATCCTGTCTTCAGGGCTCCCACTGAAGCTACCCAGTGAGGGAAGCCATAAGCCCAGCTGCCCACTGACTCTTCCTAAGTGATTGAGTTAATGGGCAGATGAACCCTTCAGGTCTGCTTGTCAGAAGTTCTGACCTAAATTATGAGATTTGTGATCTGATGATCCAATTAAAAATAGATTATTGCATAATTGGTTCACATTAGGGACTAGCCAAAACAAAACTGCTGGGCCATATAATTAGTTTTAATAGATATGCTGACAATGTCCCTAGTGATGAGACCATTTTCTCCTCTCAGCCAGTATCTGGAGAGAGGCAAACAAAAAATGGCACACTTGTCTTTTAATAAAGATCTGTCACTGTCACTGTTCTCCCGTTGTTCATCGATTTGCTCGAGCGGGCCCAGGAACATCTCCATTGGAGACTTTGTTGTTACTGTGTTTGGCATATTGAATACGTCACAGGGAGCTTGCCAGGCTCTGCCATGCAGGCGAGATACTCTCGGTAGCTTGCTGGGCTCTCCGAGAGGGGTGGAGGAATCGAACTCGGGTCGGCCATGTTGGCTGCATGCAAGGCAAACGCTCTACCGCTGTGCAAAATATTTTGGTGAAAAAAATAAGCTGAAGAAAAATTGGAAAAAGAAATACCACCTTCTTTCACATGTATGATGATACCCCCTTGTGACAACAAGGATCATGTGGCTTAGAAATATCAGAATTGTAGAACACAGGGTGTCTGCTAAGGAGAGCAGAGGCTGATTATGTATCTGGTGACTTCAGAGGATGTTTCTGCAGGATCCTCCCCAGATTATGCCCTCAGAGTCCCTGCAAGGACTTGAAACGTGGTCCAGAAATCATGTCAAGGCCCTTCCCTGTGGGAGAGAGACCCATACTGTGGTTGTGTTGCTTGCTGTGCCTGGGGTACTCAGCAGGGTTTGTCCACTTGTGCTGCTCACACACACATCGGTGCAGTGTGCTGGGGTCTCTCACTTATTGTGGTAGCTGGGCTTGGCCCTGCGGGGTCAGGGTCACTCAGAGATGTGGGAGGTGCTCGGAATCCAGGGCTGGGCTTCACGTGGGCAGGGGGTGCTGTGCCACTGAGCTGCCTCCCTGGACCCAGAGACCTTTTCTCCCCCTGATCCTGTAGGACCCACCTGGTTCCCACTAGGGCTTGGGGAGTGTTTTATCAACTGTAGATCTCTGTTCTCAGTTTCTTCTTTTGTATTCTGAGGAATATGCTCACTTTATTTTATTTTTCTACAAATGTCTATCCAGTTGTTTCAATACCCATTCATTTTATATATATATATATACACATATGAACATATATATATTTATACATAATACATACATATATATATATTTGCTTTTTGGGTCACACCCAGAGATGCACAGTGGTTATTCCTGGCTTTGCACTCAGGATCTACTCCTGGCAGTGTTCAGGGTACCATATGGGATGCTGGGAACCGAAGCCGGGTTGGCTGCATGCAAGGCAAATGCCCTACCCTCAGTGCTATCGCTCTAGCCCCTATTTTATAGTTATTTTATTAAATATTCAGTTTCTGTTTGTGCTTGAGTTGATTTCTAGGCAACCTGACCTATTTCATCAGTTTCATCCTTGTGGCATATTCCCATCCCCTTCCACTTCCCCCTTTCCTTTTCCTGTGTCCCTGGCTTTTCCTGCAGGTGTTTTTTTGTACTATCCTGTCTCACTCTGGAAAATCAAACCACATTTGTCAGTATTTTAAAATATTCAAATTTAGGCTTCTGATTCATAATACTATTAATGATAGTGTTTCTCTCCCCTCCACCAGTGTACCCCTTTCATTTGCCTCCCCCACACTCTTTCCCCCCTACGATGGTAAACTCAGTTCTATAGACCCTTTCTCAGGTTTTATTGCCTTTGGCCATATGTATTCACTTACTATGTTTTTTTAAAAAATATTCTATGTCTGAGAGAGTTAGAATTTTTCTGGGAAATACAATGAGCTTTTGAACTAACAGGGAGAAATGGTATCTACCTGATGTTGAGAATTTTGACGTGATTTTGTGCAAGAACATCTTCCACAGTTAATTCTACATCTGACCACCTTGCTAAATTTATTGTCCTTGTGTATTTTTTAAAAAAATACCTCCAGGACCAGCCACCACCATGCTGAGACCACTCTCTGCACACATGAAGGTACTGGCAGAGGGACAAAGTCACGCGGGTTCCAGGGCCGAGATCTCCAAGCCTACTCGGATTTGGGCCGAGCATCCTCCACCCAGATCCTCCAAATTCCAGTAGGTGGGGGTCACACCCACCAACTGGCCCCCTGGTGCCGTGTAATCCCATCAACTGCCAAGACTCAGAGACTATAATAACCAGCTCCCGGAACTGCGCGACTGCATTTGCAGCCGCGCGATATCTTATTATGACATCTTATTATCTCATTCCTACTTTGGACAAACTAGCAGGTTACCGAATGTAGCCTGCCCACACAGTAGAGTCTGGCAAACTCCCCGTGGCGTACCTAATATGCCAAATACCAGTAACAATGATGGGTCTCATTCTCCTAAAGAGCCTTGAATATAATCTCAGGGCTAGGATGAAGGAGACATTACTGGGGCCTGCTAGAGGAAATCAACGAATAACAGGATGATTTGTGATTTTGATTTGTGTATTTTTTTTTAAATCATGTATTTCTAGGATTCTGGAGGTGTACTACAGCCACTTGCAAATAGTGTTTTTAATTTCTCTCCCTCAACTCTTCAGGCTTTTCTGGTATTCAATGGCAATTGTGTAAGCCCTCTGCTGTGCGGGCAGGATACATTCGATAGCCTGCCGGGTTGTCCACAGTAAGAAAGAGATAATAAGATGTTGATAATAACTCCCCGTGGCATAACTCAATATGCCAAATACCAGTAACAATGATGGATCTCATTCTCCTAACCCTGAAAGAGCATTTCTCAGGGCTAGGACGAAGGAGGTTACTGGTGCCTGCTCGAGGCAATTGACGAACAACAGGATGATCCTGATTGTGACCATGTAAGCCATAAGGAAATGGGAAGTGGTAATTAATGAAGTAAACCCAGCAGTATTCATGGGTTACTACTCCTGGCTCTGCACTCAGGGATTACTCCTGGCAGTACTCTGGGAACCACATGGGATGCTGAGGATCAAAACTAAGTCAGCCAGGTACAAGGCAAACGCCATACACACTGTACTATTGCTCCATCCCTAAGTTGTGTTCATTTTTACCTAAGTAAAAATATATTGAAATTTTTCTAGTTAAGTAAGAGAATAGCTTTGGAGTTTTGATATATATCTATATCTATATACAATATAGATATATACATCTCCCCATATTTAGGTAATGATGTGTATGTATTTATATTTATATATCAAAGAAAAGTATGAATACATCTATAAGTAACTACCATTCAATCTCAAGATGTATGTCATATCCCTTAACCTGGTATCTTCTATCTGTATATCAGCCTATTACTCCTCCTACTTACCTACCTCCCTGTTTGTGAAAATATACATCTAGCTTCTATTTATCCATCTATATGCTAACATATTTGTCTTTGTATTTTTGTGTTTATCTAATTATATAGATAGTTTTCTGTGTACCTACCCACCTCTGATGTATCTAGTTTGTACCCTTCTGTCAGTCTCTGTGTATCATCTATAAACCATCTATATATTTTTCAGGATTTTATCTTTCTCTTGTGTTTTGGCTTCTATGATTTCTTTAAGTTTTTATTTAGACATAATTTCAAACTCATAAAAATCTACCACAAATACTTGGGTCTCCAGAGCCCCTTCTTGCAGACTCCCCACAACACCAAACCACATTTAATGAGCGGGAGCAGAGAGCCCATCATTGTTGGATCACGAAGACAGTAGGCTGTAGAAGTGCCCCCTTCCCATTAAATCACACCAGTGATCAGTTGCAATGGAGATGACAGTTGTTTATTAGAAGGAGGAAAGCTGGAGAAGGTTAGAAACACCCCAGTGCCCAAGGTTAGTGGGCATCATGGCTTCCTATGGCCATGTGGTTCTGTGGGTTAATGATCTTGCCCAGGAAAACGCTGCTCCATGAGGTATGGTCGAAGGCCATGATGATAAAGGGACGGTTGAAGCGAATTTCTGGAGCCTTGCGGCCTTCTATATAGCTGAAGGTATTGGGAGCTTCCTTGCCAGCCTCACTGAGCTGCAGATTGGCCTTGTATATCATCTGTGGGTATGGTACAAGGGGTGAAAGGTGAGTTCCTGCTGTGCCCCAACATTTCACACTTCCTGCCCATCGCCCCCCAACCCCTCATTGATGCGAGGTGAAGTCAGGACTCAGCGGATGCTGTTGGTTTCTCAGGGGAGATGTGGGACCTAACTCCTCTGTGGGAAAGAATTTAGGGGTCAATGCTATCAGGGAAAGGGGTCTCTGTGGAAACGTCAGGGGGCTATGAAAAAGAGGAGTTCTGGAGTCAGCATCGTGCTGAGCTTGTGGATGCAAAGTCAGAAACAGCTCTGTAGTGGCATGTCACAGGCTCTGCACTCCGGGGTGGGGCTCATGTGCCCAGTATGCCTGGCCACTGAGATGGGTCTGGCATACTGGGCACATGATGGGAAGAGCTGGAGCTTGAGGCCCAGGACCAGGACACCTACTTAGGAAAGACCTCCATGGGACTGCCTGTCACTCTCAGTGTGGATTTGGGGGAGCAGTGAGTGAAGGACCCCAGAGATACTTACATCTGTCAATTTCTGGACTGCGTTCATGTTTTTGGACGCATCTGTATGGTTGGTCTTTAAATCTTCAAGGCCCAGGGCCTTCAGGATCTCCCCGAGGTCATTAGTGCCAGACAGGGTGAGTTTGGGGATGTAGAGGTTTACTTTGCTGCTTAGGAGAAGCAGATGGGTTAAGCATGTTCTGCTCAGGGGAAACACATGGGTCAGACAATCCCTGGCACAGCACCTTTGTCTTATTCACATGGTGGCTTCTCTGGAACTGTCCAGGGCCTGCCTCTGGGCTGGGACACACAACAGGAAGAGATGGATCATCCCCCTCTTCCATCTCTTGGACAGCTCCTCTCAGGGGTTCTGAACTATACTCTTGTTTCTACAAATTCCCTGAGCAGATCCCCCCTGTTATCAACTGGCCGCCTGGACACCGAAACACTGACCCTGAACAAGGCTTGTGTTCCCCTCAGCACCTCTTGGCAGGCGGGGAGGAGTGAAGGAGCACCTGTAGGGAGTCTCGGCCCACTGATGGCATCATACCCTGTGTCTTTAGTCCACCCCCATCTCTGTGTGTTCCTGACACATCAGGGCAGTGTGGGTTCCCAGGGACCCTCTCAGACCTCTCTGCTCGAGAGCTCTTGTCCACTGGGCTGACCATTTTCATGACATAGCAGATGCGGTTCTCAAATGTTGGCGCAGGTGGGGTGGGCCTTTATACATGACCTGTCCACCTCTGAAGGCATTTGCTTTATTTTAGAATTTCTTCTCTCCAGAGAGGGAAGAAATTCTGGGAATCCTGAGCATCGGAAGGCACAGGGGGGCTCCTGCATGGATGGAAAGAGGGATGAAACTGCGGTGAGGGAGGAGATACTCTCTTCCTGGATCTCAACCAGATCTGGGGCCAGTGACTGGAGAAATACTGACCAGTGTGATAGACGGGGTCTCTCTGCCTGGGAGCGAAACTGAGCAGGACTATGCTCCGAGCTCCTCCTCCCAGTCACGGGGGCACATTTGTTCCAAGAAGAAATCAGACGGTGACGCAAGAATGCATGTGCCTTATCCCAGAGAGAAGCTGGGGATGGGTGCTATGGTCTGATAGCCCCTCGGACTGGCTTAGAAATGGCCGCAGCAGATGGGAATTTCCCTGGAGGGAGGATGTGAGTGGAACCCTCTAGGATATATGCTTGGGGAAGTGGGGTATTGGAGAGTAAAGGCAGGGGGAGTTGGGTATGGGGGAGGGCAGGAGACAACAGTGTAGAACTGAGGAATTAAGGCTTGTCTCTGGGGTGAGGATGTCCCCAGGATGGAGCAGAGGGCTCCGGTCCAATCAGATGATGACTCCAGTTGCCAAGGTTTACTTTGGATGTTGGAAAAAGTTAGAAGAAAATGGCACTGTTACAGGTTATTGTCAATGTATTTTTGTCAGAAGATTATTTTTGGTGTAGAGAGAAATTATCCTTTCTCTTTTTCAGCAGGACAGGGGAGATGAGGAAGTGGATTTGTTTGAATCCTGGTGCCTTCTCATCCCCAGGTGGATCCAAACTTTAAGTTAAAGGTTCCTTAGAGGGAGGAGTGGAAGGAGTGAGGGGGCAGATGAAATGGAAGGAGGTGGCAGATGATCCCCAAAATGACCTAAACACAGGCTCCCATGTACACCGGCCTCTGTCACCCCCTCAGCCATGACATTCAAGGAAAGCAGGGATGGTTTCAGGACTCTCAGAATATGTACCCCAAATCACCCAAATAGTGGGCGTTGACTCCTTCCCTTCAGGAGAAAGGTCAAGCTCCTATCACTTCCTGTACGCAGATAACTAGGCCACCCTCCCACCACCACCCCTGTGGATCACCCAATCACTCTCTGAGGGCAGGAACTGAAATGAACAATAATATCTCAGACCTGCACAAAGAAGAGCTTGTTCTGGCTGTCCCGCCTGCATGGTTCATGAGGACACTTTACTCAGGGCATCCTGCCTCCTCCTTTGGCTGTTCCTTGCCTGGTCCTGGGGTGCCTTGGGCACAGTCTCCACAGCCTCCTCTGCTGTCTGCCTCCACCAGCTGAACTTTATGGCAGGATTAGCAGAGTTCAAAGGCAGCACAGGCAGCTTGCTCTCCTGGTGAGGTCGCCCTTATCTCATCTATCACATTTTTGCATTCCTTTCTTTCTGCCTTTATTGATTGGTATCATGCCATCACCACTAATTTTTCCAGGAATCCATATTCTGGTCTAGGGCATCTGTCTGTGTAAGTTCTGTTATGTCTTATGCCTCCATCACTCCCTGTAAAATAGCTTTATGCCCAGTCCTTAGTGAGTGCTTCCATGGAAGAATATTGTATGAAGGGGTGATTGAATAAAGGAAGATAAATGGGGGAGAAATGTTACCTTCCCCAGGAGTTGCTAGTGGGCTTCCAGATATGAGTGGGCTCCTCCCTGGATCCCCTCGGCCCTCCCTTTGACCAACCTCACCCACCACTGGGACGACTGTGCCTGCTGTTACTCTCGCTTTTCCTGAACAGATGGATTTGAATTTTCTGAGCACAGGGAACATGTCCCAGAAAAACTGCTCCTCCTTCACGGTGAGGGTAGAGCTGGGCACAGGCTGATCCTGAGGTTCTGGTCCTCTAGCTGAGAGGTGCCCAGACGGGGGAAATGAGTTCATGGATTACTTCCTTCCTTCCTGCTGTGTTGCTCAGGCCTACACTCAGCCAACTCTCTGTGTATGCCCTGTGCCCATCACGTGTGCTGAGGTCAGGCTCCTCCTGGCTGGCTTGCCTTGTGATGCCCAGCCTGAAGCATACACACCCTGGTTTGCTTCTTACTACTTACTTAAATATTTACATTTTTCTTATTTTCAGATTTAAAAAAAAATGTATTACCTCTCCTGGACAACTTAAAAGCCATCTTGAAGTTTTTTTTATGGGGTCTCTGGTCGCAGTGGGCTGGAGCGATAGCACAGAGGTAGGGCGTTCGCCTTACAAGCGGCCAACATGGCCGACCCGAGTTGGATTCCTCTGCCCCTCTCGGAGAGCCCGGCAAGCTACCGAGAGTATTCGATATGCCAGACACAGTAACAACAAAGTCTCCAATGGAGATGTTACTGGGCCCGCTCGAGCAAATCGACGATCAACGGGAGGGCCTTTACCTTTACCTTTACCTGGTCGCAGTGTGGGTGACTAGGTTGGTTAACTCTGTTTAAGCAGTGGGGAGCAGGGAGATAGTCCAGTAGTTATGGTCCATGCCCCTTTTCAGTTCTGCATCACCAAGTTCCCCGAGCATCATAGGGTGCAACTGAGGAAGGCCCCAGCACCATGGGCCTGCTTGGGTATTCCCAGTGTTGTGGGCTCAGTAGAGCATAATCTCATTCTTGGGTCATTGTGCATTGTGCTGAACCAATGACCTGGTGGAGAAAAAATTGCCCTTGGGGCCCCTGAACTTCCCAAGCACCCTTTGTAGTCTACCTCCCATTTCCCAAAAAGGAAAATAAGGCAAGAATATGATGATACAGAGGGGCACTTATTCACCTCCCAGATGGGGACTCTCACCTAACAGAAAGCCCTAAGGTATCTCAGTGCAAACCTCCAGGTTAAAGAGTCTCAGTGCCTTGGGCAGAAGGTGGCCAGAAAACCATGTACCCCAGAGGAAGTACGGAGTTACCTGGTGACCAAGGACATGTCCCACTTAGCAAGTCTGTCTCGGCTCAGCGACTGGATGATCATGTCTGTATTCTTGTTATCGGGGAGGATGAAGAAGGCAGCACCGTTGCCCATGTACTCCAGTTTCACCAGCATGCATTTCAACTCCGAGTCATACAGGTACTTGATTTCATTGAATTGGAACATCATGGGCACCTTCACCACAGTCTTTTCATTCAAAAAGAAGTCCTCCATCCTGGTGTCTTCTGGGTTGAAGGCCTTTTCCCATGTGCCTGGGCAGACAGGAAGTGAAAGCAGGAGGTGTAGAGTGGGAGTTACTCAGACACTGGGGGGGAACCACTCAGTTAGGAAAAAGTGCCCTCCTGAGCTGTGAGGGGGCATCTGGTAAAGAATGGATACCCCAAACATTCCTACTTAAAGTCTAGGATCTCCCAGAGGCTGTGGGACCCTCCACTCCCAACAGATGGAGAGTTAGCTGCATTTCTGGCATTGGCTTATTAAAAGGGAATGGGGCAGAGCGGTTTTAGATCTAGTGACCCAGACTTTGTCTTATTTCTGTCTTCCAAAGTAGATTGGAGCCTCAAAGTGGTATTTGATTTCAACATTTCGAGGGTGAAAGTTGTGTGTGTATGTGTGTGTGTGTGTGTGTGGTGTCTGTGTGTGTCTGTGTGTAGCATGGGGGAGTCCCAACACTCTGGAAGATACCTTCAACCATGCAAGATTTTCAGTAGACCTGTTTCATCCCCCTAGCTATTGGGCCTAGACCTGAACACCCTCACCCTGAACCAATCTCCCTCCTAAGGGCTGCTCGTGGAGACCCTGTCAGAGGCCCAGGACCAATGAGAAGACCCAGAAGCCGGGACCATGTCACACTCCTTCATCATGCAGAGCAGCAACTCGCTGGGGGTTGACACCACCAATGAGACCATCTGCGGCTTCTCAAGACCACCCCCTAGGAAGTCTGGGGTACCCAAGAATGAAGGGCATGGTGATTCATGGTCATGAATTTAGGCCAAACTGTAAGATTTTGGCCATGTTCAAACTCTTCTGGACATCCACCTTTGCTAGGAACATGGAAGAGAAAAATTTACAGGTACACTATGTTTTGTACAATCAACTGCTGCCCTCAGTGCAACCAGTGTTCTTCATGGTTGTAACTGGTTTTAGTAACAAGTGTCTGATCTTAATGGAATAAAGAGAGTACCTGAGAAGAAGACATAATTGATCAGGATGAGGGTGTCTGGGCTCTCGATCTCTAAGAATAAGTCTGAGGATCCCCCCTGTGTTTCCTTCTTCAGATACTCGTTGACTTGACTGCTGGGTTTTGTCGAGGCCTGGAAATCTAACGTCACGTCTTGCAACCCGTAGTAGTGGCGGGCGTGGACTGGGAATACCTTCCAGATATTCAGGGTCTCATTGTGGAACAAGGTGCTGCCCATGATCATTTTCAAACTGCTGTCTGACATCCTGAGCAGTGTATAAAGTTCCTGGAAACTCTTATGAATATCAAATTCCGGTACTTCACCGAAGAAGTCAAAGCCAAGGCTTTTAAACAGCTCACTGCTTGAGTAGCTGCCAGCACCCAGAGTCAGCATAGACAAGGTCATAGAAATGCTAATAGGGGAGATCAAGACGTCCTTGTTGGGATTCAAGGTTGTTAGGTTCTTAAAAACACGGAAGGCAAAGTCAGCATTGTTTGGAGCCAGGCGCCGAAAAGGGCTGTCGTTGCTGGTTGTAGCCTCTGTGGTCTGAAAGCCCTTGAGAAGCAGACAGAGGAGGGAGGCGTAGGAGGCGAGCAACATGGTGCACTTCCGTCAAACCCTGCCAAATCAGGAAAGCCCGTTAGCTGTGTGGAACCCGCGAGGCAGTGCCGCCTATGAAATGGGAGAGGAAGATCCCATCTAAGCCCCAGTTCCTTTGTCTCCATTGACCGCGTGACCTAGGGCAAGTCAGAATTCTGGACCTCAGTTTCCTGACCTCAAGTGTATGGATACTTGCTATGATTTATCAAGTACTTACCAAGAGCTCTGTACTGACCATGATGTATTACCTGTATTCTGATCTAACCCTCATCCATTCATTCATTCATTCATTCATCATCCTGTTATTTGTTGATTGCCTCTAGCAGGCCCCAGTAACGTCTCTTTCATCCTAGCCCTGAGATTATATTCAAGGCTCTTTAGGAGAATGAGACCCATCATTGTTACTGGTATTTGGCATATTTGGTACGCCACGGGGAGTTTGCCAGACTCTGCCCTGTGGGCAGGCTACATTCGATAGCCTGCAAGTTTGTCCAAAGTAGGAATGAGATAATAACCCTCATCCAAAATTAAAATATATATTATAATTCTGGGCTGGAGCAATAGCACAGCGGGTAGGGCATTTGCCTTGCACGTGGCAGATGCAGCTAACCCGGGTTCGATTCCTCCGCCCCTCTCGAAGAGCCCAGTCATCTAACCAGAGTATCTTGCTCGCACAGCAAAGCCTGGCAAACTACCCATGACGTATTCCATATGTCAAAAACAGTAACAACAATTCTCACAATGGTGACGTTACTGGGCCCGCTCGAGCAAATTGATGAACAATGGGATGACAGTGCTACGGTGCTGTGTGCATCATAATTCCAATTTTAGTAAGTATAAATGAGATCTTGTAGAGGCTGAAACAACATGCAACTGAAATTCTAAAAGCATGGACAGGGGTAAAACTTCCAAACAGGAATTCTATACCCAGTGGCACTGCCCAACAGTGTTGTTCAATGAAAATGTGGAAGAAATTTAGACTTTCCCAAGGAGAAGTTGAGGGGTTCATTGTTCCTAAAATGTCACTACAGCAAGTGCTGTAGAGAGGACTTCTGATTGAAATGAGAGGATTTAGAGAGTGAACAGATCACTTACAAAGAAATAAAGATCCCTATATATGGTAGATGCGATGACAATTATAAAAACTATCATTTTAGTTTTTATTATGTGACTCCTGTTTTTATTTTCTATTTGATTTTTAATATGATGCATAAAACAATGATTATTTTATATGTGGACATAAATTATGTGAAGATATAACATAAAGGATATGGGAAAGAATACATAGGCTCATGGTTTTGTATAATAGTGAGGTTTGCTAGCATAAATTCAAATGAGCGTGTTAGAAACTTATGATGTTAAATGTACTTTCTTTTGTGAGTAGTCAGAAGGAAAATTGACAAAAATACATATAAAAAGTATATGAGAAAGGAGTTGAAATATTTCACTATACAGAATAAGTAAATAGAAAATACATCATTGAGGACCAAGAAAGAGGTATAGAGAATAAATAGAAAATAAAACTGTGGAAGTAGGAAAACAGAAATATGTCTTTTGTCTCTCTCGCTTTCTTTTATTCTATTTTTCTTTTTCTCTTTCTCTCATTTCTTCTTTCTTTCTCTTCTTCTCTTGCTTCTTTGCTTTTTCTCTGTCTATCTGTCTCCTATTTCTGTGCTCAGGACCATTCCTGGCAGGGTTTGGGGGACTACAACAAGGTCAGAAATAGAACCAGGTCAGCTGTGTGCAAGGCAAGTACTTTATCTTCTGTATTGTCTTTCTGACCTATGTTCCTTCTTATTAATAATTACATTGAAATCAATTGATAAATTTCTCTAAAAGATATAGATATGCAGACAAACAAACAAACAAGTAAACAGTCCTCCTGTTGTTCATCGATTTGCTTGATTGGGCCCAGTAACGTCTCCATTTTGAGGCTTGTTGTTACTGTGTTTGGCTTATTGAATATGTCGCGGGGAGCTTGCCAGGCTTTGCTGCGTGGGCGAGATAATCTTGATAGCTTGCCCAGCTCTCTGAGAGGAGCAGAGGAATCGAACCCGGCTCGGCCGGGATGGCTGTGCGCAAGGCAAATGCCCTACTGCTGTGCTATCACTCCGCCCCAGGTATGCAGAAAATTTTAGAAAATGAAAAAAAAATCAAGTTATATTCTACAAAATACTGCAAGACTATGGGAGACTAATTTTGGATCCAAAGATAATGACACTAGAAGTGTGGAAAATGATAACTTATGCAAATAGTCACAAAGAGTTGGAATATCTATCAGAATTGAGAGAAATTTATTAAACATATATCTAATGGTGTGTCTATACTAACATCAGGCTAAAATCATTTTAAATTAAAAGGCTTAAAATTTATTAAACACATTAAGAAAGAAATAAAAACTAAGCAACATTTAATTTAATTAATTTATTTACTGACTGCTTTTTGTGTCACACCCAGAGATGCACAGGGGTTACTCCTGGCTCTGCACTCAGGAATTACTCCTGACCATGCTCGAGGGACAATATGGGATGCTGGGAATCGAACCCGGGTTTGGCCGCGTGCAAGGCAAACGCCCTACCCTCTGAGCTATCACTCCAGCCCCTAAGCAACATTTTAAATTGAGGAACTTACAAATGATCTTGATTTTACTCATTTAAAGAATTGGAGAAAGGAGAAATAAAGCAAGAGTAGAGCACAGATAAACAAAATATAGGTGGAAAAACAGAAAAGTCAATGAAACAGAAATCTCTCATTAACGCAGTATAATACAGCAAATTGTAATCAGATAACAAAATAGACAAATCTTTCTACTAGATTAAAGGAAACATTTTAAATTAGTAAAATCATGATTTAAAGTAGAGATATTGCTACAAATTCTACAAAAATAAAGGATTGTAAAGATATTGTGAAATTTTAATGCCACCAAACAGTATAATATAATATAATATAATATAATATAATATAATATATTGGGTGCTGGAGCTATAGCACAGCGTGTAGGGCATTTGCCTTGCACGCAACCAACATGGCCGACCCGAGTTCAATTCCTCCGCCCCTCTTGGAGAGTCCGGAAAGCTACCAAGAATATCTCGCCCTCATGGCAAAGCCTGGCAATATTTGTGACGTATTCAATATGCCAAACACAGTAACAAGTGTCACAATGGAGACGTTACTGGGCCCGCTCGAGCAAATCGATGAGCAATGGGAGGACAATGACAGTGAATATAATACAATATAATATAATACAGTATTCTACATGAAATGGAGACATTTCTAGAAATAAAAACCATTCTAAGACTGACTAATAAGAATAATTCATTTGGTGGGGAAAATAATGCATTCTTACACAATTTATAATTTCACGGTCACGGTCCTCCCATTGTTCACCGATTTGCTCGAGAGGGCCCAGTAACATTGTGAGACTTGTTACTGTGTTTGGCATATAGAATACAACATGGGGAGCTTGCCAGGCTTTGCTGTGCTGGTGAGATACTCTTGGTAGCTTGCCAGGCTCTCCGAGAGGGGCGGAGGAATCGAACTCAGGTGAGCCAACATGGCCGACCCGAGTTATAATTTCAGTATCCAAAATTGTCTTGAGGGCTGGAAAGACACTACTGGGGTAAGGTGCTTGCCTTGCGTGTAGCTAACCTGGGTTTGACCACAACACTGCATTTGGTCCTCTGAGCCACACCAGTAGTGATCCCTGAGAACAGAACCAAGAGTATGTTCTGAGCACAGCCAGTTGTGAACCCCAAACTGAAACAAAATAATTATTTAAGAAGACATTTTGGAAAGAGCCCCATTAGGAATTTCCTGTTTTGCAATTGACTATGCACGGTGATAGCAGAGTGCTCCCATTGTTCATTGATTTGCTGAAGTGGGCCCAGTAACGTCTCCATCGTGAGACTCGTTGTTACTGTGTTTGGCATATTGAATACGTCATGGGTAGCTTGCCAGGCTTTGCCATGCGGGTAAGATAGTCTCAGTAGCTTGCTGCAGGGCTCTCTGAGAGGGGCGGAGGAATTGAACCCAACTCGGCCGGGCCAGCTGCGCGCAAGGCAAATGCCCTACCACTGTGCTATCTGCAATAACTGAAACTACATTGTATCGACAAGATGATGCAGTATTCTAGAAAGGAAAGAAATTATACCTAAGTCTGTGGTCAAGTGATTTTTGACAATGATGCCATAATGATTCAATAGAAAAGGAAGTCTTTTCAACAAGTGGTGCTGCTGAGATTTCTACATGCAAAAGAATCATTTCTGTTTTTCTAAAAATAAACTTAAAATGGACCAAAGTTCTAAATATAAGAGGTAAAATAATAAATATCAGAATAAATTAAAAGAGAAATACTTTCTATCATTGGGTTTTGCCTTTTTATTATTTCTTTTCCAAAACCAGCTGTGCTCATGATTTATTCCTGGCTCAAAAGTGTAGGGACACTCCTGGTGGGCTCAGGGAACAATATGGTGTGCTCAGGATTAAACCTGGGTCAGCTATGTGCAAGGCAAGTACCCTTCCCACTCTACTATTTCTCTGGCCTTGACAATGAGGTTTTTTTTTTTGAAAATTGCGCAAAGGTCTCAGAAACAGAACACAAATAAGATGTATTGTATGTATTAAACTTTATCAAAGTGAAAAAACCTTGCGCATCAAGTACACTGCCAATGGATAAAAATGTAACCTGAAGAATGAGTGAAAATATTTGAATATTTGAATGATCTATTATAAGGGATTAGTAAAAACAATTTCTAATAGCACAGCAGGTTGGGTGTTTGCCTTGCATGTGGCTGACCTGGGTTTGATTCCTCCATCTCTTTTGAAGAGCCCAGCAAGCTACTGAGAGTATCCCGCCCGCATGGCAGAACCTGGCAAGCTCCCCGTGGCATATTTTATATGCCAAAAACAGTAACAATGAGTCTCATAATAGAAACATTACTGGTGCCCGCTTGAGCAAATCGATGAACAATGGGAGGACAGTGCTACAGTGCTACAGAGTA